TCGGCTATCATACCGATCTGAACAAGAATCTCTTCTGAGCAATACGCCAAAAAGGCAGAAGCTCGCTGTCCATTTTCATCATTCTTTTTCTCCCGGCTAAGTTCAATCACCGTCAAAAGGAAGGGTACCAAGTATAGGCAAAGCCGCCTAATCGGCTTTTGCGTTGAGTCAAATCTCTGTTTGGCCAGAGAAAGGGAGCGAATGCTGGGCAATTTAGCAAACTTGCTGCAATGATGCTCAAAGCGGTTCTTCAAAAGAATGGAGTTCTCAACAGCTGCCACTATGCTGTGCTTGCCAAAGAAAACTGATTGCATGATCTCTGCAAGAGTTGGATCTGCTTCAAAGGGTCTTTTGATGATTCTCCTAGATGCATGTGCTGCATCTCGAAGGCCCAGTCGAAGAGATGGCAAGAATGAAGCCCCATCTTCTCCACGTTTGTGCCTGAGAAGTTCCCCGGCTTTTTGCTCATCACCGGCATTGTCCGCGACAAACACTTCCGTTTTTTGGCGGAAGGCTTCCAGCAAAGCATCATTGATAGGAAAACTGCTGCAGTCCACGCCAGGCGCCCAACTACCAGGAGTGCAAAATGCTCGAATGACCTTTTCTGTGGCCTGGCTGATCGAGCCAGCCGCACTCCCAAAGTTCTTTGCTAACCCTATCACACCAGACTTTCTCTCCAAACGGCCTGAAGCAGCAGTAAATCTCAAAAGCAAACGCTGATGTCTCTCATCCTGCTGCAAAGCAATCGTGACAGAATTGTCTAAAATCCATGCCCGGAGCATCATGCGCTTAGCCTCGGCTAAACAGAAGGTAAGCTGGCGAAGTTTGTCAGGGCCAATTCCATGGTCTGGTAGCCCGGCCTGGCAAGCCAGGCCATCCAAACGTCTCTTCAAAGCTGCTTCGAACACTTCGCAAGGTGGGGCGTCTTTGGTTGAATCCAACGCTGCTGGAGGACCTGGGAGACCTGTAGAAGCAGAAGCATTTTGCCATGCTTTCCGATGGGCATCTGTTTGCTCATGGCGTTTGAGCTTTGACAACCTCACTTCAGTCTTCTCCATTTCAAAGCAGGCGGCTGGCGATGGACTCCCCGCAAAAGCACAAAGCAAGCAGCCAACTCCCAAAGTGCCATCGCACCGCTTTTTGAAAGCCAACCATGGGATCTCTGATAAACGCTGTCTCCATTTGCGGTAATTCTTAGCTAGGCGGCATCCAGCACAATCTTCCTTGCACTTTTGAAGATGCTGGTCCAACTCGGGCTCATTGGCATTGGAATTCGAAGGAACAAAAGTTGCATCACCTATGCTCTGGCCACCCATGTTGCGCCAAATGGCTACCGACACCAACATTTGAAATCATCTCTCACCATCAAAACCTAGAAAGATGATTTCTCTTCTGGATTTCTGCCAACAGAAAACAAATTACCGGAAAAGGAAAGGCTTAAAATAATCAAGTTCTGAAACTTTGAAACTCCAGCTTCAAACAAATCTTGAAAATTCAGCTTCCAACCATCTTAAGAGCTGTGGGGTCAAACAAAGCCTGGCAAGGAGAAGCAAGGGCTGCGACAAAGGCCGATGGGCCCGGCATGTTTACGTTTATCCTAGTCATAGTGCATGTATCAACCCTTGCACAAACTTTGTCCGCGACGGCTCATTGGTCTGAAATTTGAGATTAGCTTCTCGCGTGTGCCCACCAATTTGCCCAAAATAAGCTACAGCTCTTAGGCTGTAAGCTCCCCCTGGCAAAGTGAACCTAAATTGCAAGTGCTCCCTCATGATCCGCCGTCTACGCCTTCACCTACTTCTTTGGTGAAGGCATACTGGCCTTCATTGGTGACTTCTTTGGTGACTTCTTTGGAGAAGCCTGGATTGCATCGTCTGATGCTTTCCTTTTGGTGCCCTTAGGCTTCGTCTTCGGCTCCACATCCTTGTAGTACGTGGGTGACTTCAGCTTCAAAGCGATCATCGGCCCTTCCAATGAGTCCTTCCAAGTCGGCATTTTGAGCAGCTTCTTGTACACTTCCTAGGGGTCACAGCAAATGAACTGATGAGACCGCTCAACCCAAAAGCTGCTTTATAGGTCTACTTAATAGGCTCAACCACCATGCTCAAATGACAAAGCGTGTTGAAGGGTAGGCCCACACATGGCCATCAAATAACACGGAAACAAACATGTCACTAATCAGATTCACAAAGCTTCGCAAGCATCCTGGATTGTAAAGTTTCCACTTGGCAGG